CACGCCCCCGCGCGCAGGTGAGCGAGAAGCTGACCGCGGAGCGGGCCGGCCTGGCCCAGCAGCTCCGGCAGGAGTTCGCTGACCGGCTGGCGGCCTCCGAGGAGGAGACCCGGCAGGCCAGGGCCGAGCTGGCCGAGCTGCAGGCCCGGCAGCGGGTGGAGCTGGAGCAGCTGACGCGGGAGAAGCAGGCGGAGCTGGGGGCCGTGCACCGGAGGTGGGCGCGGCAGGGTGAGGGGGGAGCTTGGGCGGGCCCAGACTGCAGGTGCCCTGCAGGCCAGCCTGCACGCCCGGGCAGGCCCCAGGGGCGGCTCCCGGTCCAGCCCCGTGAGGTCCGGGCCAGCCGCTCCCCAGGCACCCAGCGCTCCTGGGGCCCGGCTGGTGCTGGATGGGCATGGTGGCTCCCCCAGCCCGGCTTGGCGGGGACAGCTCCCCCAGGGACGTCCGACCCGCTTGGGGCTCTGTGGCTGTGCGTGTGGACTGGGCCCACGCGTGCCCCAGCTGTCCCCTGGAGGGGTGGGCCCTTGCTGGGGCTGGAGCCCCACAGAAGCCCCGTGTGCCCTGCAGGGTGAAGCTGGCCCTGGCCAAGAAGGAGGAGGCCGTGAGCAGCCTGCGCCGGCAGCATGAGGTGCCTGGTGGCTGGGGGGCCAGGCAGGGGGTGGGGCGGGGCGGGGCGGCGGGGCTGACTGTGCGCCTGATGGACCCACTGCGCGCCTGTTGGACCCACTGCGTGCCTGTTGGACCTCACTTCCTGCAGGCCGCCATGAAGAGGGCTGACCACTTGGAGGAGCTGCTGGAGCAGCGCAGGCGAGCACTGCCCAGCGCCAAGTGACTGCAGCGTGGGACCCGCCATGTGCCCTGCTGCTGGGGGCCCAGGCAGGCCCTCCCCGGCCACGGGCCCTCCGCGGAGGCCACGGCTTCGCAGAGCTCTAGCAGTAAAGAAGGGTGTTTCTCAGTGGGTGTCCTGCCTGTCTCTCCCGAGGCCCCTCCCTGGAGCGACCGGTGGGGCGTACTGACCCTGCCCGCCCTGGGCCAGCCCCCCACAGGCCGGGTACCAGTCCCAGGCCTCAAGCAGAGCACGGCCCCTGCTATAGCTGCGCTGGGCAGCTCCTGGCACTGTGCCCCCCGGTGCCCGCTACCCAGAGGCCGCTGGGCTTCTTCCCTCATGTGCCCTGCCCTGGAGGAATGGAGGCCACCTTCCCGCCCCGGCACCCGCCTGGACGGGCCCAGCCCGCCAGCATGCCCTCTGACTGGAGAGGGGCTTCCTGTCACCTGGGTCCCCTAGCCTATGGGGGTCCAATCCCCGTGCCCTCCAGGGACGTCGGGATCTGGCAGCAGTCATTCTGAGCCCCAGTGTCCACAAAAACACTGGCAGGAGTACAGCCCCTGGCCCTGGCCTGGAGGTGTGGGCCCCGCTCTCCCTGGGGAGACCCCCTTCCCCCCCGCTTGAGCAGAGGGGCAGCGAGACCTGCCTCCTGGGAACACCAGCAGCCCCGGCGGGGCCTGCACACCCGACTGGGCTGCGCGCAGCCTCGGCCGGCTGGCTGGCGCCCACGCGCTCAGCTGTCCCTTCCTGCATGGGCTGCGGGCTGTGCCCTAGCACGCCTTCACCCGCAATAAAGGTCACCTGTCCTGATGGGCGGCGTTTCGGGTTTACACCGCCGCCTCCGCCCTGCAGGCCCTGCCTGCGCCCGACTGTGTGGTGAGAAGGGCCCCGAGGGGCCGAAGGGCACTGCTGTGCCCCAGGTGGGGGGCTGGAAGTCCCCTGCTCTGCGGGCTGCGGGACTGCGGCGGGGATGCAGGCCCTTTCGGGTCCCTCTGGTGGTCCGGGCAAGCGGTGGTGGTGGACTGGGGGCTGGTGCTTTGGCAAGGTGAGGGGTGAGGGGCTGTGTGGATCAGGCTCACTGGCCCTGGCGGCCACCACCCGGGGCTCAGCTGTCCAGCCCAGGGTCTTGCTCGAGGTCACCACCCTACAGCTTGGCCTGCAGGCCACGTGGGCCTTTGGAGCCTGAGGCGCCTGCGACCAGCCCTAGGACCAGCCCCTGGGGCAAGGAGGTGGGAGAACCGGGCCACCACCTCGCACCATACCCACCAGGGCTCACTGCGCCGGGGGCGGGGCTCCCGCGGGGCGGGGCCTGGG